TGCACAAGGCGGCCCTGGAACTCATTCAGGCCTTCAACCTTTGGCCACGATGGCCGGTTAAATGCTCCCGTCGCGAGAAACAGCACATCTGCGTCGTCTTCGAACTCCTCAGATGTGCTAGCCAATGAGTCGACGCGGCGAATGCGGAGGCGCCACTTCCCTGTGGACTCGTCCCAGCGAGCGTGCACCAGCTCATGGCTGAGCCGGATGTAGCGCATGAGCTTGAATGTGTCAACTATGCGGCGGAGATAGGCAAGGATCTCGTGGCCAGGGGAGTAGAAGCTTGACCATTGCATCTGGTGAGTCGCAGGTTGCTTAGCATCTGAAACTTGGGATAAAACAGTGAAGCGCACGTATTCTTCGTATGCGAGTTGATACTACAATGATAAACGCACTTCAGAATTTCATTGATTTCGCGATGACGTGTAATGAGAACTGACACAGAGTGATGGAACGTCGCAACCAATACCCTGGATGACCGAAAAGTCAGCGATCCCTGTCGACGAACTCGACCTGGATTTGCTGACGGGGTACTTATTCGCATACCACACCCCACCAATCCCAGCGGCCTTCTCGTAGATCGTCAGGTCTAGATTTGGTACTTTCTGCGAAAAGCTGGGAGGTCATGCCGCTACATTAGATTGCCAATACGGTATGAAACCAGGAAGAGACACACCGAATTCCAGCGACGATTCCACTATACCCTGCCCCGATGCATAAAACCTTCATCCGCCTGTACTCATCCACCGAGAAACCGTCCGCATTTGGAATGTCATCTCCAAGGACGTCATGAAATTGACGTCGAGTACCATCCGAACCCGCTTTTGAACGGCCGAGCCAACTGGAAAACAGAGAAATTTAGTCAAGTATCAACGAGGAATGGATTACGAAGGACAGGAGAAGATACCTTGCAGGTGATTGCCATATGAATTCGGACTTGGAACTTCGGGACGCGCCACTTCACCAAGGATGCCCCAATAGTTGACTCGCGTGTCCTCGGTAGTTTTTGAAACTTGAGACCGCGTACGAACCTCTTTTCCGGATGCAGAACGATCGGGATGTCCAAACCTTCGCTATCTCTCAAAGGCAGGTGATACGTAAGACTCAAGATGCTCGCATTGTCGATAAAGTCGTGATGCGAGGGAATTAATGTGATCCTAGAAACACGTTAGAATTTGCAATGCGGCAGATTGAAAGAGGAATAAACCTAATGAGTGGTGGTGAGTCCTAGAACCATCGAGTAGGTGGCGTGGTAGGATAGTCAAAGCTCCTGCGAGGTCTGATCAGTGATCTTGTCGATGGCGCTCACGAGTCTCAGTGCGATCCTAATGTGTCTTTACTCTCAGGTTCGCTTCCTGTGGCTATCAATTAAGACATGTGCGATAAGTCCTTGGGTCTTCCAGAACGCCCGGTGACATCTCGTGTCCGATTGAAGAACGAATGCAAGAAGCTAGCTAGGTCAGCCATTCATCCAAGAGCTTCGCTACTGTGATGGCTCTGGGTCGAGTAATTCGCCTACAGTACAGTCGCCTCCAAGCAGTGCAGCTCGCACGAACCTTCCCTTGAGTTAACGGGTCGGACATTAGGACCTCCGGCACAAAATTGGGAGGGGATTCTGCAGGCAGAGACTGGGCTCTCAACCTCTGAGTCGCCCATCGGATAGGCATGCGATCAATCAGGATTTCGAACATGGTTAGTGCGGGTATCCAGCGTTAACAAGATTGCTCGAGTTCCCACGCGCCCCTTGGACAAGTAGGGGCGACAAGAACGACAAGTCGAGCCTGCAGGAATATATTCAATGTTCAGCAGCCGGTCATACTTAGCTTCTCGGGGAATGAGAAATCAGCCTCCTGCTTCACACTGAGATTGTGCTGATGGGTACCGAGAAAGCGAGCGCTGGCCGTGAGTAAGGATGGACGGATCTACGGTGTTTCCGATAATCAGTGTCTGGCACACAACTGGCACTTTGAAGCAGAAGAGGGGGAAATTACTTGTGAGGGCACATAAAATCTCCGGGATATCGCACCTTTCATAACACCCCACAGCTCATCTTGCCGTCGATGCTGCCGGTGAGCGGAGGGTTGACAGACACGTAGGGCTTGACTGCTTGGTCCATGCACAGATCCTCGGCGTTATCAAACCAAAGCTGAGTCCTCTGAACGCTGTTCTCGGGGCCAAATGGTTGCTAGTACACTCGTGTCTTTGGGAGATGCAGTAGTGCGGTTAGTCTGAGTAAGGTGGGGGCTTCAAGTTGACGGTGGCGGGCCGGCCCCGCGTCGTAAACACACGGCTGACTAATCAGGCACACGACAAGGAAAATATTAATATTCGCGTTGCATGAGCCTGATGATCAGTAGCCTGCGTGTAAGCATGGCCTATCCTATCCACCGCGGATACCATCGAATACACCTCTTTCACTACCATTGCGCGTTCTCCGACTAGACCACAGTAGATTGCCAGGCGCAGACTTGATTTCTTAACATTCGACTCCTACACTTCTTCGTTTCAACATGTTACACCATTCGCAAATTGCTGCCGCAGTTCTCGGAGCGGTCGTGTCTGGAGGGACGGTCCTCTCCCAGTCACAGCCTCGCAGACAAGACCTCCCTCCGCCCCAGTCCGGCCATCTCGTGCGCCTCCGGGTTCAACAAGAACATCTGAGTCTGCGGATCCAGCGCCCTCAGCTGGCTATCTCCCCCAAACTCCGCCGCGCGCGCCTCGTACGTCTTCCTCCCCCAATACCGCGCCGCCGCCCAGTCGGAATGGTGCGCACACATCACCGCCGCGTCCTGCGTGAAGTCGTCCTCGTCCGCCGCGTACCCCTCCTCCCGCATCATGCGCACGCCGCGCACGATCGCCGCGATGCGCCCCGCGGACTCCCGCGGCCCGTAGTGCGGGACCGACTCCCAGAGCCTCGCGATCGTGCGGCGCCGCGCGTCGCTCGCGCGCAGCGCCTCGCCCGTGCGCGCGCACGCGTCGCACGCGCACTCGAAGCCCCACGCGCGCAGCCGTGCCTGCCGCTCGCCGCGCGCGCTCCCGTACACGCCGCGCGCGGAGATGTACGACACGAGGAGCTCGTCGCCCGCGGCGACGGCGCGCAGCGCGTAGATGCGGAACGCGCCGCTGCCCGCGTGCCACGAGTAGCGCGCGTTCGGCGCACACGAGTGGTTGAACCGCGCCGCGCGCGGGCACAGGATCGAGGCGTTGTCGCTCGCGGAGAACGCGTTGGCGGCGTGGATCGCGACGGCAGAGCGCTCGCCGGTGTGCGCGAGCGCCATGAAGGCCGCTCGGGCGGCGGGGGAGAGCGAGCTGACGGCGGCCTCGACGTCGCGCGGGCTGCTGCTGCCGCTGCCGATGCGGTTGCGGACGGTGTAGAGGGGGCGCTCGGCGAGGATGAGGTCGCCGCGCTGGAATGCGCGCGTCGCGAAAGCGCCGAGGCCTTTCGTGCCGGCGTCGGCGACGATGTATCGAGTGGAGTGGTCGTCGCTCTGGAGGACCGCGGCGGCTTCTGCGGCGCTGTTCACGGTGTTCATCTCTACTACCGTTTTCATTTCGCCTCCGGCGTCGGCATAGGCTTGGATATCTGGGCACATGGGATCGTGAGGTTTGTTGAAGGCGCCATATTCGAAGTACACACCCAGTCGAGCACCAGAGAAATCACCCTGCTTCGTCCTCGAGACGCTTCGTCTGTAAAAAGCTTTGGCATTTCCTGAGTCCATCTCTAGCGCTGCTGTCGCATCGCTCTCGGCGTCCGACCACCTATTGCTGGTCAGATCATGTTGATGACATTGCAGCTGCTGAGATGCACTCACCGCTCGAGCTTTATATTCGTCATACACCTATTGAGCACGTACACGGGATCGGAAGGGTCCATCGTCATGGCGTCCGTATAATGCTGCAGAGCGGCGTCGTAGTTATGCGCTTTGAACGCATCGTTTCCCTTGAACATATCAAGTCAGTCCTGAGCAGCAGCTTTGCAATGTCGATCGCACCTTCTGCTTTTCCAGTTGCGCTACAGATGACATGGTGTTCCTGTTTCGGAGGAGATTTGAGTGGTGAGCGTAGCCGATACGACGTGCTGAGCTGAGGACGACGGGTTTTAAGTGCGTTCTTCCTCAACCTCGAGGCTGCTGCGGACACTCACCTGAGGCTTAGTGCATGCAGGCGCTACTGCGCAGCAATCGGCGAACTTGAAGGTGTTCACAGAATATCCATTTGCGCTCCCGCCTGGGTCCGACTGACAGGCTGCTTGAGAACGTAAAGATAACAGACCTCACCTCTTAGCACCAGGCGCAACGAGGTAGACCAATCTGTACACCGAATACACGAACACAGACCACAGCTATACGACTGTTTGGACGAAGACGTTTATTTCCGCTGGACACGAGGCGTTCGTGGAGCTCGGCCACGGGGAGTAGAAGTCGGAAGGTTCGAAGGAAGATCGTCAGTGTCTCTTCTGACGCAAGAAGCCGTATTCGCCGTGTGACATGACGCTAGCGAGTACTGGTGGCACGAACGAACGCGATCGCGTTCGTTGCATGTTGCGGGTCCACAAGATGATAAGGCTTCACTCGGCGCAATCGCATCCACGGCGTCATAATGAGGAACCAGAGTGCGCCTCAGTGAGTGAGGGGATGTATGTGGGATGTGCATCTCCCGGTTAGAGAACGTTAAGAATGAGGGGAGTGACTTGGAACTTCAAGTTAACGGAAGACGAAAACGGGAAGCTCAGCGCTCAGCAATTAGCTATGTAGGTACAATACTAAGAACGATGTTTCTACGGCGCTATAGCCAAGTGGTTACGGCGACAGATTAGAAATCTGTTTCCCTCTGGGAGCGCAGGTTCAAATCCTGCTGGCGTCGATGCTGGAATCCAGGTAGAATTTTGCTCCGACACCGCAATAAAGAAGGCATGAATTTCCATACCATATCGAAATTTTCTTTCGTTTTGTAGATAGTGCATCTTCATGCCGGTCAGTTAACCGAAAAAAACAAACAGACGACACCAGCAGGATTTGAACCTGCGCTCCCAGAGGGAAACAGATATTTAATTCGAATCTGTCGCCGTAACCACTTGGCTATAGTGCCTTGACGATCACAGTACTGTAAGTACCTATCTTCGTCATAATACGCACAGTGCACATTGCTCTATCATCCTCGCCAACGACAAGTACGCAAAAGACACTGTGATGGCCAGAGCCGAGCCAACAGCAGGTAGGATTGATGTCGCCGCGTGTTCGCGGGGGCCATGCAAGACGGCCACGTGACTGTGAGCGCGTCACGGTGGGTCTTTGGAGACTCCACACGACGTCTGCAAGGGGGGCATTTATTTCATTGACGAGTGGAAAAGGCTGGACGATAGCCGAGCAAGAGGCGGGGCGCTGGCGTGCCAGGTGGAGGCTCGATGACGCATGCCAATCCCCGTCCAAACTCGATGACGTCGCTCCGTCCCGCCGCCGTATATAACCAGCGCGCTCGCCAGTCCTCTTCTCCATTATTTCTCCCCACTCCACCATGTCTCTTCCCAACGCTACCAAAGACATCTCCGAGCACCCCGGCAAGAACTCGGTCACCGACCCGCTCAACAAGCAGGCAAAGGCCGCAGATGTCGACCGCAAAGTGCGTCCTCTCCGCATCCTCTCCCCGCATCGTCTTAACCGCGTCCGCAGGTCCGCTTGTACGGCGTAATCGAGGCCTTCCGCCAAGGCCGCATGCCCACCAACGAGCAGATCGACCACACTCTCAAGCATGTTCTCCAGACGTCTCCCGTCGACGAGGCCAAGCTCTCGCCGGAGGGCCGTAAGTTGATCCAGGACACCCGTGACATCATCGAAACCGCCCGCCTCATGGTCAAGGACAAGAACGCCGACGAACTCTTCCAAAACTTCATGTGGCACACACGCAACGTCGACGTCTCCCAGGCGAAGAAGGATCCCAGCGAGATCGCCCCCGTCGACAAGCAGAAAGTGCAGGAAGATGGCCAACAGGGTACGTTCGCGCATACATCAACCGTCTATCGCGTTTAACGACTTCGCCAGCTCTCCATCACCTTCGCACTCTCCTTACCCTCGTCGCGACTAACTCGGAGGTCCGCAAACTCCTTTCCGACTTCTCCGTCATTGGCAGGGATATCCTCGCACGCGCTGCATCCCACGCCGCCGAGAGCGTACGCCCCGATCAGGACGCGTTGAACAACGTCGACCGCCCAGCACCGTCAGACCAGTTCCAGACGGCCGGTGGACGCAATGTCGGTCCCGACGAGACGCCCGTTGCCGAGTTGAACGTTCCCGGCACCAACGCCGCGATCAGGCATCACCCCCATGAAGGCACCGAGGTCGAGAATGACGGGGAGGTCCGATCCGGCGACGAGGCTTTCAACCAGGCGCGCGATACCGCGTACAACGCGAAAGACCGCGCGGCGGAGACAGCCCAGGCTCAGGCCAACGAAACAGCAGAGTGAGTCGATTCGGACTTGATCCTAAAACAGTCTCTGATCGTGCACATAGCCAAGTCACCGACGACAATGTCGATCCTGAGATGAAGAAGCAAGGTCTAATGTCGCGACTTCAGGGTTTGAAGGTACATATCCATATTTGCCGAGGCGTTCGGCTACTGACATCAGATGCAGAATGGTCTCTCCGATCGAATCCCGCAGGAGCACAAAGACACCGCTCGCGATAAGGTCGACCACAGCCGCCAAGTCCTTCTAGAGGAGTACTTCCCTGAGGATCGCCGCGACCAGTTCATCTACCGAGGCAAAAAGGTAAGCTGTTTCTTTGCATCCCGTTTTGTCTGCGCGCTGACGCACATTCATCGTTTAGGTGATCATCGAGTGCCAAAAGCACAACGACTATCAAGAGAGTATTCGTTGGCTCCTCGAATTCGTCGAGGAGTACGCCGGGCACGGGAGGTCCTTGGCTGGGCACGGCAAGGATTCCCATGGCAAGCTGACGAGCGTGAGTCTCCTAGACATTCTTAGGGATGCCGCGTGTTGACTCTTTGATATCCAGGATCCCGCACTTCAGCAGTCCACTACTCAACTCCGCACGCTGCTGGAGCGCTTCGCGAACGGGCAAAGCATGGACATCATCTTCGGCGCCATCGACGACCTCGTCCAGGATGCTCGCAACGATGAAGAGTTCCGTCACTGGTTCGAAGGCGTCGACGCGTACTCGCGCAAGGTTCTGCTCGAACCCGGATATGTCCTCGAGCCTGCGTGCAACTCGGAAGGCCGCGAACTCCGCGACTCTGGCCGTCGCTTCTACGACGAGAAGTACAAGAATCACTTCGATCGCCTCTTCGACTCGATCGGCACCTGGTTCAAAGCTATGGGCGAAGATCCGCTCAACAAGCGCTTCGGCGACGATTGGGCGAGACTTACGCACGACCTACTGTTCGACAGCGAAGGAAGCTTGAAGTTCAAGCCCGAGCTTTGGATGGATATCCGCAAGGTTATCCTGCCAGTTTTGGTCGATCAGGTGCGTCTTTTCGAGGCGGAGTTTGCGGATGTCGATCTGATATCAGCGACTACAGGTTGGATACGTGCCTATTCCTCGTGTCGAGTACACCGACGACGCTATCGATCTCGTCGTGGAGAACTTGACTCTGCAGGGCCGGAACCTGTTCCCGAACATCGTGTCGATCGAGGCGCACAACTTCATGAAGTTCTCGCCATACAACGCTATCAAGGACGTCAGTCACCACGAGTTCACGCTCACCTTTGGCCAGATCCAGGCGGACATGAAGGACGTCGCGTTCTACTTTAAGAAGAAGACGGGCATCCCGAAATTGTCCGACTCGGGTCTTGCGGACGTCTTCCTGGGCGGAAACGGTCTGACTGTGAGTCTCGTCGACATCGTCGAATCAAATAGCGATCTGACCATCAGCGTACTCTAAGGCCACGGTCCATCTTGTTTCGGCAGACAAGGACAGGACGTCCGTCTTCAAAGTGAAGAACGTTAACGTTAAGGTCGATTCGCTCAAGTTCTCCATCCGCGACTCGAAGCACGACATCTTGTACAAGACGCTTCGTCCCCTAGCAACTGGGCTCATCAAGCGGCAGATTCAGAAGGCAGTCGCCGATGCGATCACGACTGGGATGGAGTACGTCGACGGGCAGCTCGTGGGTGTGCGCGATCGCATGGACGAGGCGTCCAAGTCGGACGAGCTGAGCCGAACGGAGGCGCTGAAGAGCTTGTTCCAGAAGAAGAAGGAGGAGACGGCGGAGAGTGTGAAGAGCGCGGACAACAAGCGCCATTCGCAGTTCAAGCTCGTCGCGCAGCGCGACTCGTCGATCATCCCGGAGGTTGGACACCCGGCTGGGTGGTCTGGCAAGGCGCAGGAGCGTGTCGACTTGGCGCGAGAGGAGGGCAAGGAGTGGCGTTCTGACGCGTGAGTTCCCCTTGTTGACGATTTTGTGTTGGCGACGCTGACATGTTCTTCTCTAGCTTCACGATTGTCTAGATCTTTGTATAATTTCGCGGATACCTAGCGTTGCCGAGGACTGTTCTTGTCGACGAATGTTTCGACCCGCCCTGTACGACTATCCACCTTATGTTTTCATAAAGCCTGTATGTTCCCCGAAAGATTGGAAGTAGCTTACCACTAGCCCCGCGTTGTTGTAACTAATGTCTACGTGTCTTGCGCTTGAGTAATGCGATTGCAACGATACCCTCGCTGGCTCGAGCGCGTCGTGGGAGCGCCCCTCGCCCGCTTATGTAACGGATAGGATGTTGAAGGCCGACTCGAAAGGAGCTGCTGACGCCCCGCAAAAAAAATCCCATCTCTGTCCGCAACAGCCATGTCGACCGCCGCCTCCGCCGACCGTCTGCGCCCCCGCGCCTCTCTCGGGGACGCCGCCGAGCCGGGGTCGCACCCGAACCGCTGGAACGAGCAGGACACCGCCGCGTTCGTCGCGTTCCTGCACGAGCACCGCGCGGAGTACGCCGCGAACGGGCACTTTGCGCGCCCGACGATGGAGGGCGCGGTGCGCATGCTCGGCGCCGGGCCCGGCGGGACGCGCACGTGGCAGGCGTGCGCGAGCAAGTGGGGGCGGGTGCGTGCTGTTGCCTGAGCGTGCGAGCGCGCTGCTGATGCTGATGCGCAGCTGTGCGAGGAGTACAAGGAGGTCGAGCGCCTCAAGGCGGGGTTTGTGAACGAGCACAACACGTGGGACGACAAGAAGGGGCTCTCGCTCGGCGAGTGGCAGGAGGACCTCTGGGCGGACTACGTCGACGTGCGTGCACGCCCCTCTCCCCCGCCCCCCGCAGATTGACGGAGGCGTCCCCACAGGGCCACCCGAAGGCCGCGATGTACGCCAACGGCAGGGGCTTCGTCCACTTTCCCAAGATGGCGGAGATCCTGTGCGGCGCCAAGCCGCCGCGCACGCCCGCGCGCCCCGCGGCGAAGCGCCCCGCGAACGAGAGCCTGAGCAGCGCGAGCAAGCGGCCGCGCATCGCGCTCGTGTCGATGCCGCGCGCGCCGTCCGCGGACGCGTCGAGCGACGAGAGCGCGAGCGCGAGCGCGAGCGCGAGCGACGACAAGCCGCGCGAGCTGCGCGCGCGCAAGCCGCCGCCGCGCCGCGCGCCGAAGCCCAAGATGAAGCCCCGGCCGAAGCCCAAGCCCAAGCCGAGGAGGGCGGTGAAGCGGGCGCGCCCTGGCAAGAAGCAGGCGCGAGAGAGCTCGCCCGCGCACGGGCCATCCTCGTCCGCTTCCGCCTCGCCTTCTGCGCCCGCGCCGGTGTCCGCGCCCGCACCCGCACCCGCACCCGCGCCCGCGCCCGTATCTGTGCCCGCGCCCGCGCCCGTGCTGGTGCCGGCGTCCGTGGAGCCGGAGCGCATCCCGCACGACGTGGTGAAGCGCGCGCGGCGCACGGTGCAGCAGGCGGACTACGTCGCGGACGCGCAGATGGTCGCGCTGATCAAGCTGTTCACGAACAAGCCGGCGATCGCGGAGGAGTTTGTGGAGATCACGAAGGAGAGCGTGCGCAAGGCGTGGATACTGGACACGGTGCGCGAGCTGGGGCTCGTGGGATGACACTTGGGGGATTGGCGGGCAGGGGCGGTGGGGACGGTGTGTCTTATTCGTAC